GTCGGAGTGAGACCTCCTGTTCCCGGTTGTCTGACAGCTGCTCGGTGTGTAACGGAAGACATTTTGAGCTTTCGGTGGTCCCGGGGCCGTTATCGGAGTGTCAGCCTGAAGTCGGGGCTAATGTGCTGGATTCTGCGACGTGAAAAAGTCGAGCTTTAACGGAACATCGCTGCAGTTTGTGTAGCCAAGCTAGCTTAGCTCACAGCCGCACAGCTAGCACACTCCTAGATGCTAGTTAGCTAGCGACACCTAGCTGGCCTCCTCCTCCTCCTGCACCTCCTCCTCGACAACCGGTCCCTTCTCGCAGACATAATGGCTTTAAAACGAATTTCTAAGGTAACACACCGCCCTCTGTTTCACGTTTATTTAACATCGTGTGTGGCGTTTGTGTGCTGGGAGCTAGCAGTTAGCCTGCCCTCTGCACTGCAGCTGCAGCATTTCGCATTAAACCAGGTGAAATGCAGCTCTGTGCAGCCGCACAGTGAGTCGTGTTTTATGTGCTGGAATCAGCCGCACTCGGGGGCAGGTTTGAGCCGAGAATCAGCCTCAGTGCGGGTCTTTCGGGGTTCAGACCTAACGATGGTCCAGGCCTGAAGCTGCTCTGCTCTTTGGTTCCTTTTAAAATAAACTTGGTTTCTTCTCCGTGATTCCTGCTCGGTTCCGCTGAGCTCATTAGCTGTCAGAGTTTATTACGTTATTACAATTACTAACCCTTCTTTTTTTAGTTTCTCCGTCACATTTACATATACACATTTTTATTCCTTTGCATTTCTCCGGCAGCTGTGATTACAGTTGATGGTTTTCACCCACAGACACAGTTTGTAAAATGTGGGTTTGTGTTCACATTAAAGTGCATCTCTGCAGGTCTGTTCGTCAGGGCCGAGGGACCCTGCTGTGTTTGGACAGGTGAGAGCAGCTGACGCTAACCTGCAGGTTGCTGCTTTCAGTCCAGATGCTGACAGATGTCTTTGTACCCCTCATCCTGAATACCTTCATCTCCACAAAGTGCTCACAGTGTGACGGTGTTGCCAATTTCCAATGTTGGTAAATAGACGTTAGTGAGCAGGATTTACAAAGGGGTTATAGATAAAATAAAGAAATTATCTGCAAGAATCTTAACAACTGTGTTATTTTACCTACATTATAACCAGTCCATGATTTTTGGTCAATTATAACATCTTTATAGATCTGTTTTTATACTTGTTGCCAGATCTCTTTTTAAAAAAATATATTTTTAATGTAAATGAGACCTTTGAAGTCGATAAATGATATATAAAAGTCACTTATTGTGGCTTCTACCTTGTTTGTAGCTCAAGAAATATTGACGTCATTCACGAGGAATGCATTTTACATGTTTCACATTTTATAGGTCAACAAGTCGTTTACAGCAGTTTAAATATAGACAATCACGTTTTGGCACAACGGCACAAGCTGAGCTGTAGATGGACAGATGTTGGTGTTTCCATACAGAAGAGTGAATCAGTGAGACCGCAAAACCAGGAAAGCTCACATTTTTGAGACGACTTTTATGCACGGACCTTTTCGTTTGCTAGGAAAGGTCCGTGCATAAAAGCCGGTGAAAACAGGAAGCAAAGAAATCGCAGGATTTTTCCCAGAAAGTCGTCTTTCCAGCTGTCGCAGTGGCTCTCTCTGTATAATCTGGTTATTGTACAGAGGAATAACTGAGCTCCAGTGAAATGGTGGTAAAGGCCAAAATGATTGTGCACTCATGTCTTCAACATGGCCGCGAAACGACACCAAAGCCTGGCGCCCTCGATGGCGAGCGTAAACTACAAACGCAGAGGTGGACGCTGACCAACCAAGATGTCGCGTCTTCACCCTTCAGCTTATCAGGAAATACATACAAACATCTCTACAGGGGAAAAAAGTGCTCATTAGACATAATGGCTGTTTTTACTGAGCGTGCTCAGTGAGGGTCTGCTGTTAGATTAAATGTGTTTAACATAGCCAGGCTTAGATCAGTGACAACACTGACTACTGTACTCTGTTAAATCAAGCTCTCTGCTTCATACTCTTGTTGTGCTTATGGGCAATTTTAAAGATAATTTTATTTCTGTGCCTTTTTTTTTTAAATGCACCTTATCCAGCAATATTTAGCTTAATTTATTTTATTTACTCTTTATTTTCACTGATGTAAATTTAGTGCATCTGTAGGCTATTTAAAATTTAGAAAAATACTAATAGCTTACTTACAACTGGGCTCGTCAGGCACTCTTCTTGGCTGCAGTGGTTATTATTATATTTACATGCTTCCAGCTTCCGTTTCTGCTCGGTGACAGCTCATACTTTTCTACTTACTTTTTCTCCCTCCTCGCGCCCAAAGACACATAACGGGTATGGCAGTCCATTTTCCCTGCAGCACGGACTACACATGAGGCTACATTCTTTAGGGCTATGCCTGTAGCATTCTGTAGCTTAGCACAGCAACAACAACAACAAAAAGGTTCTCTCTCACCCAGGAAACACACAGTCGCAGAGAGCGTCACCCTGTAACCATGGCAACCGTATAGGCTGCCGCCTGGAACATAGCTGTCAAACAAAACTCAAACAGTCCTGACCCGCGACAATATGAAACAGGAAAATACCCTGTGTAATTTATTTATTTCAACAAAGTAACTATAGTCTAAATACCACCTTTTTAAATGGTAACTGTAACGGAATACAGTTACTCATATTTTGTATTTTAAATACCTAATGGCTGTACATGTATTCCGTTACTCCCCAACACTGACAATAATTGCTAAAAGAAATTTAATTTGTAGATCTAAATAAATTCTAAATGTATTTAGGACGTTTTTACTCACTTTATTTCTCTTCCACAATGTTATTT